TGATTATTAAAATGATTATTTATTATATATCATTTTTAATTAATTATATATATATATATAAAATCGTATTAAATATCATATCCCATATGGTAATAACAAACTTATATTTAAATTTAAATAAAGGTTATCCATTAATCGTTAAAAATCTCATGAAAGATATAAGAAGTCCAACTATATTTGCATGTTAATAATTACAATTTGTAATCTTAAAGTTATTATTGTAATTACAGATAACGGAAACATATATGGGATCAATATGGCACGAAAGCGTAAACACGAAGTTAAAACATCTGTAAAATCATCTCCCAAATATACCCCCGTTAGAAAGTCTAGCAGACAGATAGCTAAGAAACAATTGGAAGAGAGTAAGATTAACGGAAAGATATCCAAAACGTCTTTGTCCAATGTTACAGAAGAATCAAGGAACGTTGAAGAAACAGAAAATCGATTGGATTCTAAAAAGAATCAAAATCTACATAGAAAATATAATAGTCATAAAAATTTATCTAATAGCGATGACGTATTAACAAACGATAGCATATGCAGTATTTACAAAAGAGAAGACGAAGAAAGCGACAGCCAAGATGGATTGGATAATCTATTGGATCAATCGGATAAACTTAGTCCAGAAGATGTACGTCAAATGGTAGTTGGTAACACGACAGAAACTAACGAAACCAAATTGGAATCATCTGTGTCGAACGAAGTAGAAGTATGGCCAGAAGCGGTAATAGAAGAAATAATATGCGAAGAAATGGAAGTAGAAACCGATGGTACTGGCATAACCACTTATAACACTTTAAAACCAGATAGTGATATGGTGGTCGAACAAGTGCTACTAATGAATAAGGCTAACTTAGGAGAAGATAATTTTGTAGAATATACAGTCATCAAAAATGAAGACTGCGTTGAATCTATGATAATAGAGTCTAATGTAGAATGTGGTACGTCCAGTAATGAATATCAAATTATTCAGAACGGTATGAATAATTTACATATGACTGCGGAGGATAAATCTACGAGTAGCAGTACTGTATCTTACAAAATGACGGATTCCAAACGAGAATGTAATAAAGTAGCATACGATTTAGATAATAATTCTACTAATAATAAAATGACTACCTTGTTAGATCATGCAAATAGTACTTACACAAATAACAGAACAGTCGAGGATGTTAAAACGATGGAATCATTTAAAAATAAGTACGTAGGTAAAGATCGGATTAATATTCGGAAAGGAGAATCTAATGTTTCAAATGACGATACTAGAAAAATAAGCAATAATTATGTATCTAAATTATCATCTAAGCAAGATTCTAAAGAATATCAAAGGGGAATCGTTAAAGAAGATAATAATTGTAAATCGGATAAATCTAATACCGTGGAACACAATCAGTGTTCTAAGGAAATAGAAAAATTAGTTAATGATTTGTGCAGTGTAGAAAGTGTTAATTCGCCAGTAGAAACGTGTATAAATGTACAGAAGATATCATTAGTTAATGAAGACGACGAAAGTAGTTCATCAATATTAGACAAAATGGAACAATTACATCGTTCGGTTAATTGTGAGTCTAATACAGATACAATATATGTTTATCAGAAATCAGTGGAATGTGTTTTGAACAATCAACAACAAAGTGTCTTAAAGTCGGACAATTTTACAGAAAGTGTAGGATGCGCGAACGAACTACCATTGAATTGTAGAAATTTACAGAAAAAGAAAACTCATCAGAAACCTACAGATCATTTACAAAATATTGATGATGCTTGTGCGGACAGTGAAGCAGATAGTAAAGTAGATAGTGAAGATATGAAATTAACTAGTAGCGGTGATAGTAGTAATGACACGTTATTGTCAGTTAATAATTATAAAATACCAGATACCGATACAAAAGGTGCTTCTAATAATATCAACGATGCCGACAAAAAGATTGAATTTAGAAGCCGTAGCGGTAGCACAGATACTACTGGTTCTGAAAGCGGATCTAACAGTTCCGGTGTAAGAAGAAGTAATAGAATTCGTACTATAGGTTTAATGAAACAAAGGTAAGAATAATATCTCTTCTCTCAGTCTTAATTTTTTTTTAAATTCTTCTGACTCTTGTATTATTCGTAGATCTCGAGGTCGTGGTTTGGTAACCAAATCAAATACAGATATATTGAAATCTAATTCGACGCAGGAGAAAGATAAAATAGCTACCAATATGACTACTACTTCTTTAGAATCAAAAATCAATTCGGAGGGACAATCTGAAATTCAATGCGACAAGGAAAATAATGTCAATAAAATGCAAACAACGCATGATTCTCTTGCACCTTTAGTTGCAAATTTCAATACTTCTGGTTATAATTCGGATTCGTTGAAACCGGTCAAAGTTAAATCTAGATGGCGAAGATCTAGCGAACTTGAAATGGGAGGATCTAGTTCGTCCATCTCTGGAACGGGATTTGAATTTTCCAATGCTATTACGTCTGAATTATTAACACACATAACAACTAAATCCAATAGTGGTCCTTCAGGAGAATCTGGATCCTTGGAACGTGGATCCACAGTTGTATGTACATCAATGAATGTACAATCTTATCCAGAAATAAAACAGGATGGAGAGGAAAATCTAGAAAATAATTCTTCTGTTAATTCGTCTACAACGCAGGTTTCTAAAATTATAGGAACAAAGGCAAACCCGTTATTAACCATTGATTCCAAGGATAAAGAAATGGAAGAAAGATTAAGTCAGTTTGAATATTTACGTGAAAATTTATATCTCACAGAAAGGTGAGTTATTTATTTGTTTTTCGTATTATTTTTGTAACTCTTTGAGCTCTGAATACTTCCTTTTAAAGTTCTCTGTATGGACGGCACGTACCTAGGGATTGAGATCGTTGCTGAAGGAATACTTTTCTGCTAGTGTGAACTCTGTTGATCGAATATACCAGGCAAAAATAGCAATAAGTTATTCTTTTATATCCAATTAAATAATAAACAAACAAAAAAATACCGTTATTTTTGAAGTGTTAATTATTTATTAGAAACGGTAAAATATATTTACAACATACTTTAATTTCGAAATAAGATATAAAAATTATTGAATATATAATCAATATAATATTATGTATATAATTATATATATATATATATATATATATATAATATATATATTAAATATTTATTTTTAAATTACTAAGTTCATTTCACAAAAAACAAACCTTTTATATACAATTACTTTTATATACAGAGTGGTAAAAGAAAATGATCCAATATATTTTAAGAGCTAATAGTACTTATTAAAAGGAATTAAAAAATATCTTATTAAAACGGGTCCAGAAATCAACCCTTTGTTGTAAATTAAATTTTATTATATGCGTCCTTAAAATCCACGTCAATAAATTTTGCTAAATGCATATATGCATCCTCAGGAATATATATATCCCCATATGCAGAGCTCAAAGGGTTGAAGAAAATATTTATTAACATTATTTAATTTTATATCAGGTACACCAACAAAGAAACCAAAAGAATGGTATGCGATTGTTTCCTTACGGAAGAAGAAATAGAAAGAGGCGAACTTGGTTGTGGCGAAGATTGTCTCAATAGACTTCTCATGATAGAATGGTACATAAATAATTATTTATTCATTAAAAATCTTGAAAATGAAGTATAATTTTTTTTGTTTTTCTGAATTAGGTCACCCACCAATTCATTTTACTAAATCACTGATCTGACAGAAACTAGTAATCCAACGTTAAATTTGTATTTTCATTTTAGTGGATCCAGATGCGTGGTCGGTGATAGATGCACAAATAAAAGATTTCAAAACTGTGATTACGCTAAGTGCGAGGTCTTTCGTACAGAAAAAAAAGGATTTGGATTACGGGCAGCGCATGATTTAGATGTGTTAGTATTTATAAATGTAATTAACAATTTTCTGTTTTTCTAACATAATTTTTCTTTCTTTTTCTTTTTTTTTTTTTTTTTCTTTTCCTTCTTTTTGTTTTCAGAGGAGAATTTATAATGGAATACGTAGGAGAGGTTGTAGATCCAAAAGATTTTCGTCGTAGAGCTAAAGAATATTCCAAAGATAAGAATAGACATTATTATTTCATGGCTTTAAAATCAGATCAAATAATAGATGCCACTATGAAAGGGAATATTTCACGTTTCATTAATCACAGTTGCGATCCAAATGCAGAAACACAAAAGGTAAGGTTTGTCGTATTAATCGATGATAATTTTGTGTTTTGAATATATATATTTTTTTTTCATTGCACTTTTACAATGATGTTGTTTTTCTAGTGGACGGTAAATGGAGAATTAAGAATAGGATTTTTTATAAAAAAGTTTATAACAGCCGGTGAAGAAATAACTTTCAATTATCATTTTCAACGATATGGGTGGGTAATAATTAATTAATGGATAATACAATTATCAATTAAACAGACATACAATATATTATTTTATTAAATAATATTATAAACAAAATTATCAGAAAGGAAGCACAAAAGTGTTTCTGTGAAGCTCTCAATTGTTGCGGTTGGATCGGTGATACACCCGAAGAAGAAAAAGAAAAGATTGAGAAGAAGGAAAAACGTGAGAAAGATTCGAGAAAGAAAAAAGAAGAGAAGAAACCGACGGATTATATGGAGGACGAAGACGTACGTTTTTTTATTTTTATATTATATATTTATAATAGTATATATTTATATTTTATATTATAGTATTATATAGTGTTATATAATATTAATATATTTTTATATTATAAAAAAGTGTTTCACGTAGATTTATATTGTTTAACAAAAAAGAATGTATTTCCTTTATAGATATATTTTATTTTTTTTTGTAATTTCTTTGTGTCTATATACATTCTATATAAAAATAGATAAAGAAGAGAATTAAAGTTGATTAAAACGAACTGACGTAAAATCGAACAAAGAGCGAATATAATGGTTGAAGTATATTAAAACATCGTGGACAGAAGACCTCTCTTTCTCTCTCTCTCTCTGAGTTTTCAAGGGGTTGGTGAGGGGGTTGGAGAGTTGTATGCGTTAACGATGTTCCCTCGTTAATGACGAAATATTTGCAAGAGCATAATTAAATAGCCGAACACGTTAGCGAAAACTGGCACTTGGTTATTTACTGTACGATACCAAATTCGTTCTCATGCTGCTTTACTGCAATTCCATCGAAACTTCCACCACCTTTACCCCTCCCCCTTGCCACCACCATCACCACCACCACCACCATTCTTCTTTTCGATAGTACTGACCCCATTTTTATTTGTTTTTTTCTTTTTTTTTTATTTGGCAATCCTTTATGTATTTATTTTTTTATTTTTAGATATTTAAACGAGCGTGAAAATGTTGTTCAAAGGGTTACGTTTGAGAATGGGGTAATAAATAAAAAATATTATTGGTACATTACGTTCTCGAGTATATATTTTTTTTGTTTTGTTCTTTCTGGTCTCTAAGTATAGTATATATGTATATATATATTTATCATATAATCATCTAGAAACGGAAAGAGAGATAAATAGATAGAGAAGAAACGTAGCTGGTGCGTTTAATGCAGATATCATCTGCATAATATCCACTCGTAAATCCATGAAAACCCGTGACCTGACCTGTGCACCCTTTGTATACCTAGTTACGGGCTCTGTTCCGGATCATCTCAGAGATTTTATTTCCTGAATCTCCGGAGATTGTAGAGACAATAGTAAGGGACGACAAACGTCCTGGATAAAATTTTTCTTTGATAACTGTGATTATAATAACTAGTTATATATATATACTATACACATATACTTTTATTAATTATTTTTTTTCCGGTTAAATATACAATAATAATATAATAATGTAATAATATTTAAATATAAAAACGACAAACTTCCTGGATAAAATTTTTCTTTGATAAATGTTATTATAATAACTGGTTATATATATNTTTTTTTTTTTTTTTTTTTTTACAGTTGGAAGAAGAAATAGACAAATTGTGTTCAGGTGGATTGAAAAATCGTGCACATACTTTAACGCTGAGTCGTTTGATGGTTCGCAGTAGAGAATTGAAACATAGAACGTGTCTATTACGTTTAATACAAAGCGGAGAACAACCATGTAGAAGATTATTCTTAGATTATCACGGTCTTCGTTTAATATGGAGCTACGTTTTGGATATTGCTGAGAACGAGTCGGAAGAAGCGCAACTGTTTCGTCTGGAAATACTGAAAACTTTAAATACACTGCCAATACCTAACAAAACAATGTTAATGGATAGTAAAATTTATGGTGTAGTAGAAAAATGGGCTAATCGATTATATTTGTCACCGAGCGATGAATCACCTGAAGATGATCAAAGTAAAGTCAAGAGATTGCCCGAAGAAAATAACAGTTGTTACAATGATGCTGGTACTAAAAAAATCATTGACAATTTGAACAACATTCCAAGCATAACCGAGAATAGAGTTGAAAATTCACAATTGAATGAAATTAAATCTGAAAATACAGATCAATCTCTTATTCCTGAATTAGCGTCAACGTTATTGGTTGAGTGGTCTAATCTTAAAGAGGTCTTTAGAATACCGAAAAAAGAAAGGATCGAACAGATGAAGGAACATGAAAGAGAAGCAGGTCATTTTGTTCTTCTTCTCCTTATTATTATTTGAGAGATACATATGTTTATATCATTCAATTGATTCATTATTTAATTGATCGTATATTTTTAGATCGTGGATATAGAGAAGAGCTTGAAAAAGATGAAAAAGCTGGAACATCTTATGAAAGGTAATCCAGAATCTTTCAATCTTCCAATTCAATGTGATGAAATAAATATTATTTGTAATATTATCTATAATTAATTATTGTTAACCAATCATTTATGATTATATATTCCAGACAAAGGTCTGATAGATACGGAAGAGTGGAATTAGACAAACGTACGGACAGAAGACGAGGAAGAGAATCTCCAGATTTCGAACATAATAATAGAACAAAGGATAAGAAAGTAGAAGAAAGAAGTAGTTTAGTTCCTATACCAAGGATGACAAAATACGAACGTAGACAATTGTTTGCATTAAAAGTAGCTAAAGAAGAAGAAGAGAGACAACGTCGTCAACAACATGATTCGTGGCAAGAACACGAATCGAGATGTTTAGCTTTGGGTATAGATCCGCATTCTACTGCTATGTTAGATCCTCAAACTGGTTATCCGGTATTTTATAATCCAACTCTTGGCCAATGGCAACATTATTCTGCACAAGGTAATTTATATTAAAATTCACATACACACACACTTAAGTTATTAACTATTAATATTTTATGTTTTTTTTTGTATTATTATTTTCAGAAGGAGGTGATATTGCACAACAATGTACTCCTACATGTGTCGGAGGAAATCAATCTCTTTCCACTCCAAATGCTTTGGTATCGCAAAATCCTCATTCATTACAATCAACGTTAAATTCAGAAATATCAACCGGTATAACTGGTACTACTGCCGTTCCTTCCAGTGTACCACCTGTAGTATATTCCTTAAATCAACCACCTGCGTTTAATCAAACGCCAACATATTCTTTACTTTCGCATCATCAACAATATACCGAAAATCATTTGCCTATCGCAAGCAACTTAGTACCGGTTCATAGTGTTACACAACCGATTTCTATTCAATCGCAATCTCTTTACATCGATAAAACAACTAACTCTCAACAGTTTCCTGTTGTTAACGTTTCTAATAATGATACTACTAATAATCAACAATCACAGCCAGAAATACCACCGATTGATTTGCCACCTAAATGGAAAAGCGCAATAGATGGTAGAGGTAGAAGATATTATTATCATATTAAAGAAAGAATATCGCAATGGTTACCACCGCCACCGGATCACATAGGAGTCCAACCGGATTCATCGTCTAGTTCTGAATCCAGCGACGATTCGACATCTTCTAACGAAGATGAAGAGGATATTGAGGATGAAAATATCGATAAGAAAGAAGATGATGTATTATTAGATGTCGGTGGTAATACGGATAAACGTAATTCTACGAAGAAAGTTAATCTATATAATAATCCTGTCAGTTCTACCGTATTTCCTGAAACTAAAAAACGAAGAGACGGTTTGGTACAAGAAAGGATCATTAGTGTAAATATTTTCTTATTTTGTTTTGTTTTGTTTTTTTTTTTTTTTTTTTTTTTTTCGGTTAAAATAATATATATTTTTTGATGATACAGGTTCATAGGGAACTTGGACATGAAAAGAAGTAGAACTTAATTTAATTAAGTTAAAGATAAGGTTACCTATGAACCTATATCATCAAAAAATTATAATTTTGGACGAGAGAAAATACTGAATAAATAATATATATTATTTCTTAAAGGGAATATATTTATTGATGTATATATATATATATTTTTGTTTTAAATTCTAGCCAAGAAGAGAGGAAGATCGTATCGGTCATAAGACGTATAAAGAATTGAAAGAAAAATTAAGAAGACAGAAGGAAAGAGCGAGGCTTAAAATGCATGTAGATAAATTCAGGAAACATAGGCGTAGTAATAAATCTAAAATTCATTCGAGACATTGGTTAAACAAAACCCAATCAACCTCGTCAGATTTCACCAGTATGTCGGAAAGAAAGATCAAGGATACTTTTAGAATAAATATGGCCAACGTAATGGTACATTTCTTAAATCCGTACAGAAAAAATGATTGCAAACAAGGTCGAATAACTAATACGGAAGATTTTAAACATTTAGCGAGAAAGGTATATGATATTATATTTCATTAAATATTTCATTGTATTTTAATATTAATTGTATATTTATTTAATTAATGTTTTTTTCTTTTTTTTTATTTCAGTTAACGCATTTCGTATTAGCAAAAGAGCTGAAACATTGTAAAAGCGTGGATGAGTTACAATGTAACGAAAACGTTAAACACAAAGCTAAAGATTTTGTGCGCAAATACATGAGTAAATTTGGGGCGGTATATCAAAAGGGAACGGACGAAGATTAACTGTTTGTACATGTACGAAATGAAAATTGTTATTTATTATATGCCAACTTTATCCTGAACGTTATCGGTTCCTTATAAATATATCTATATATATAAAAAAAAAAAAGAAAAAAAAGAAACGAAAAAAAAAAGAAAAAAAAGAAAATAACACAAAATAATAATAATAATAATAATAATAATAATAATTTTCCTCTTTGTAGATATATCCGGAAATGTGACTATATTACTATCATAAAAATAATAAAATAGCAAATTATTAATTTCTCATATTTAATATGTATATATAAACAAAAAAATTTTACAACACTTTTCTCTATTCTGTCCATGGTCGTATAAAAATATGCACATGGGATATATATATATTTCTTTATTTCCAAGTTAATATACTACAATCATAAATACATTGTATGATGATGGTACGCGTTTTATCACATTTACTACATTTCATTCTTTATGAAACTCTTAACCCTTTCGTTACGGCATCCCTTGGCGCGAGTATCGTTTCTCGTAGAAACATCGCTTGTACATGCGCAGAATTTCATGGTACACGACCCCTATGAGGGTTGGTAAGTCGTTCACATGGGGGCCTTTACACATACGACCCCTATATGGGTCGATTGGTTTTTCGTTTAGGATCCTTAAAACGAATGACCCTTTATGAATCGGTAGTAATAACGAAAGGGTTAATTTACAATATTTACTATTGCATTGATTTTTTTAGAAGGATTAAAAGATCTGTCATTTGTTTTTATAATTCATTGGAATTACGTCACTCCGTAAGAATTGCATCGTTTAGAATAATGTATATATATATATATATATATACACATGTATATATATATATATATACATATATATTTATACATATATAATTATATATACATATATATATATATGTATGTATTATATACTCATGCATGTAATAGCATATATGTATATGCATATATAAACGCTATTACATGTATCATCATATAGGAAAAATTGTAACGATTTTAAATTCTTAATAATTAATTTATTCGAACGACTAAATGAACAAAAATTCAAAGAAAATAGATGCATTCAGTTTTCCTTATCGTAATACACACCTTTTTGTCATAGATCTCCGTCTGTTGGTACAAACAAAATCAAGTCTGTGATGCACGGTATGCAATAATAATAATAATAATATTAATAAAAAAAATGAAAAAAAAAAAAAATAAATGCAGAATATTTTAAATAAAAGATAATATTATCTATGTGTGTAAATATATATATATATATTCGAAAAGATCGTATTTTTCTAAATGCTTCAATTTTTTTTATCGACTTTTTTCTGTCACGATCTATCGCGTCAAGAATTTTATTATCATAAATACCTTGTAACACAAAAATTATGTAATTGATTATTACATTTGATTTAATACGCGCATCAAAGTAAGAAGCATTCTTTTTTTTTATTTTTATATTTCTTCTCGGTGTCTTATAACATTTTTTTTTTTTTTTTCTAATTGTAAATATCAAAAGAAGAAGAAGAAGAAGAAGAAAAAAAAAAGAGAAAATTTATATTACACGCATATAATATACATGCTATTTAATTATACTTATATGTTATTTTATGCATGATATATAAAAATAGAAAAAAATATTAATTTTGTATGGGGTCTTTTTTTGTTGTTGTCAATTTTATATATATAAAAAAAAAAGAAAAAAAACATATCATTTGACCCCGACGTGATTTGAACACGCAACCTTCTGATCTGGAGTCAGACGCGCTACCGTTGCGCCACGGAGTCATATGTTTCAATAGTTGTTACAATTCACATAACTTGATGAAATTAAAATATTATTATTATTATTATTAATTAATCTCTTTTTCTTTTTTTTTTTTCGTTTTATTTATTTCTCGTTTCTTTCATTTTTCATTTTTTTTTTTTTTTATATCCGTTTATCAACGTTATTAGAATTATTATTGCTTCCATAGAAATACTTGAAATCATCGATATTGTTTAAATAAAGGAAAAAAATTGCACTTGTAAGCGCGATTTGATTTATAGAATGAAGTGAAATGAAAAAATAAAAAAAAAGGCAAAAAAAATGAGATAAACAAGAAGTAATGAAAAAAAAATTAGATAATATGTGAGCGCGTCGAGATGATTATTATCTTTGTAGGACAAAAGAAATGTTTATATTATTGATAATCATTGATAAAATAATTATATAAAATGATTTCTTGACACTGTAAATAATACTTTAGCAAAAGTGGTGCATAACTTTGTTACTAATGGGGAATTTTTTTATATATGAATAACATAAAAATGAATTTATATAGATATAACAGATAGCATTACATGTGTTCAAATATGCTCCATATGAAAAGAAAATAATTGAAGTACGTGTACGCGTACTTTCTTATCATTTGAAAATTCACGCTTATTGAAAAACGAAGTTCATACACGAATAATTTATTTTAATTAGGTATATTTGAAATATACGAAAATATATAAATCAATTGATCAATGTAATATATATATATATATATAACAATGTTAATGATATCGTAATAACATTATAATAATCTTATACTAATTAATATGTTTCTTTATAAAGCGTATATATTTTATTATTATTATTATTATTATTATTATTAAATGCGATATTAATTTATATTTTATCGGTAAATTTACAATTAGTATTAAATAATATTATCAAGTGTTGCAGATATATTTAATAAGAGGTGCCAAATGAATTGAGGAAAAAGGAAAAAAAAAAAAAGAAACAAAAAAAGATAATAAAAATAAAAAACGTCGATAATATTTCGTTATAATTTTCTAACACTCTTTAATGGAGATGTTTATATAAAAGATTTGTCAAATGACCGATAATATGACGGCTGCTGTTAATTCGTAGGAAGAGAGCAAAGAAGAATTTATAAAATAATAAAACAAAGAAGAACAAAGAGATTGTAAAAGAAAAAGGTATCATTACATTCACCGAAAAGTCATGCACACAGATAGAAGAAGAATAAGAAGGCTTACGTATATAAACGATAAAAAAAATAAAGTTTCATGATCCTCGGTAATAAAGTATAATATATAAAACATTTCAATATTAATGTATTATAAGAATATTGTTTTTTTTTTCTCTTTCCAGAGAGATTAAATATTTAAATA